CCCTCTAGCTCTCTCTTTAGCCCACTCTGGTGAGTGCACATATGCCCTCTAGCAAATTTAAAAATAGTAATAAATGGGACCAGCTGATGGTGTAATGGTTATGTCACTGGACTCCCTCGTAGTTGACCACAGTTTGAGTCCTGGACCTGGAAGCTTGAAACTCAGCTGGGCATGTGTGTGTGCATGCCCAAGATCCCTGAAGGAGAATGGAGGAGGGATTTCAGCATGGCCATCCCCCCAGGGGTGATTTCTCGCTTTCCCTCTCGCTATCTTCATCTCTCTCCAGTGAGCTCAAGCACTAAGGCAAAAACCCCTTTAAAAAACAAACAAAAAAAAAGTTTTAGAAATTAACTTAGAACTCCCAAGTTCACTCCTAGTTCCTCTGAAAAGAAAATTATCTGATTTTACCATTATGCTAAACTAAGCTATTTAGCACTTAAGGAGCTATGAGCATTACTTTTGAAAGTTTTTCTTGTAAGTATTCTGCGGACAGGAGAAAATTTTCCAAAGTAGGTGTATATAAGCATGCAGTTCTTAAGCTATCTGTGAGTCTCTATGAAGTATTTGAAAAAAGGACTGTATTGCTTTTGATTTAATGACAGTTCATTCTATTCAAAGTAGAAACTGATCATAAGCTTTCATTAAGTTAAGCATCTTTGTAAATGCTTAAGTTAATTTAGGATCAGTTCTCTTGAAGACCTGCAATTGTATTCTATAAAAGAATGCTTATTCAAGGTTCATAGACGCTGAGCAGATAGACACAGTGATGTTTTCCACGGGATTGTTGGGAACTACCCCAGCTCAGTGCCTCTGCCCCACATTGACTAATATCCAGCCACTCAAGGCTGTCCACCAAAGAAAAATTATGTGATCAAAATGCATAAAGTGTCACATCGATGATTTTTTAAGAGAATTGGACTTCAGGGGTAAAGTGTCCTTTGAATATGAATGGTACATTACAGTTAACATGAATTCAAAAAAGAAATTGAACTTAATATTAGTACAAAAAATTTACCTGGGTTAATTTCTCTTTTTAGTTAAAGAATTCTATCATTTGAAGAGAATGTTAGTTATAACACAGTAGAAAAAAGGACCTTAGATGTATCGCATTTCTAATGAATGACCACAACGTGGAGGTCTCCTTTGTGGGCGTACAATTAGCATGAGCTGTAAGAGCTGCTAGGACCTGTACCCTGCGGCTCTGAATACTCTGAGTACCGCATGTAGGGAGGACGGAGATTTGAAATGATTCTGGAAAGACAACCCTTCCAGGAAGCCCTCCCTTATACTGACACATTTCCTTTGTTTCTCCTGCCCTTTCTCCAGCTGCTTAGTAGCTATTCTTACGTGGAATTCTGTTTCTGTTCTGTGTGTCTTTTCTCTAGCCTATGAGGGCAAGAGTTTTGCCTTCTTCAGCTCTGTGTCCTCGAGTCTGGCCCGGCGATGAAGGGATGATACTTATTCAAGATCACGTAGCTTAGGAGGGGAGAGTACTCAGGGTCCAGTGGCACCAAGGTACCCCACGGGACCCGGCCCTGGGCCCGCCATCACCTACACACGGGGGTTCCGCAATGAGCAGGCGGCAGGCGGGGTACTTCCAGACCTCTGGAAGCAGTGAGAGTAGGGGCTGGCCAGGTCGTTAGGTTTTGTAGATCTGGCTGAAGAATTTGGATTGTTTGTTTTTCTGAGTGAAAATGATGAGGAGTTAAGAAAAAAGGCTTAAAGCGGGCAATTTGGCATAATCTTTTAAAAGTTTGTGGGAAAATGGAGTTAAAGTACAGAGCCAGAAGATGGCACACAGGTTAAGGTGGCTGGAGCCCCATGACTAAACAAGTGGTTCGAGTCCTAGACCCGGCAAACTGAAAATCATGCTGGGCATGTGTGCATGCATGCCCAAAATCCCAGGAGGAGAATGGAGGAGAAGGGAGTGCAGCATGGCCACTCCCTTGGGGAGTGATTTTTCACTTTCCCTCTGTCTCTCTCTTTTTCTGTCTGTCTCTCTCTGACAGGCACACACACCCTATAGACATAAAGAAAGAAAAAAAAAAGGACAAGTTTACTTTGCTGGGAAAAAAGCTGAAATTCCTGTATAGATTTTTCATAATATTTATTTTCCATGAACTTTTAGAAGTCCCTGCGTGTATAAAGTAGTGTTTGATAAACAGAAAGAATTCGAAGTAGAGAAGTAGACTGAGAACGAGTGAAAGGCAGAGTCACGTGAGAGCGATGCTACGAATGCCGGCCAGAGGTAGAAATTGAGCACTGACCACCAGGAGAAAGGTCAGACATAATCTACCAGGAAAAGCCGTCGGACTTGAGGGAGCGGTCGCCGTTTACCTGAAAGTACTACGAAGAGTGAGAGCCCAGCTCTCTCAGTAGGGAGTGGGCGATGGCAGCAGTTCCAGTTGGCCCAGCATAGATCTTACTAGTTTTTACATTAACTACGATTTTGATCTAGACAGTTGTAAACCTTCTTACTCAGCAATTTAAACAGACAGAAGGGCAATTAGAGAAATACTCTTTTCTAGTGTTATAGTTTCCTTTATTCCTGTCTTTCTAAAACAGTTTTGGGAGCACAAAATAAAGTTTTCATTTACTGGTTTGTGTGTGTGTGTGTGTGTGTGTGTGTGTGTGGTTTAGTATTATGCTGCAAAAAAGTAGATTTCAAAAAAAAAATTCCACTTACATACTGTGACCAATTAGATAAACTGACCCAAGACAAATAGATTGTAAGGGCCACCATCACCTCTAGCCAAAGTTACCTTGTAAAACTTAACGTCGGAAGAGAGGCTGATCAAGTGAACACGGGTAGAAAATGTTTTAGAAGACATTTCCCTTATGAGCGTAATTCTATATATGAAGGTCAGTATATGACTCCACGTTTTTAACCACTTGTCATGAAATGATTAAAGCGATGTTTGGTACTTGTTTAAACTCCCACCGATAGGTAAATTACAGAATGGCGTCCGTGTATGTGTTGACTTCATATTGGAATAAGGCGTGTTCCATTTTTCCTGTTTATAGGGAAAAGAAGCGCTGATGACCCCGATCCCCTTTGCCAGACCCCAGGATTTAGGGCCAACGATTGCTGTCGTTACGAAAGTGAACCAGATCCAGGATCACCTGCTGAGGAAGCACGACGTTGAGCTCTACATGCACCTGAACAGGCTGGAAATCGCGCCGCAGATCTACGGGCTGTAAGTGCAAACGCCGAGGCTCCCGCGGCTCCTCATGGTGTTCGTGGTGGTGCCCGAGTGTCTCAGACCGGGGATAAACAGCAGCAGTATCCCGGTGCCCTTTCCTCTCCTGTCTCTTCGGTGGCCTTATCATCTAGTGTGTTTGTGCATGCTGTTTTACAGAACCCTGATTTTTCAAACAAAAGAAATCATTTTCTTTAAAATGTTTCAACGTGGGACCAGCAGGTGGCATGATGCTTATGTCGCTGGACTCAAAATGTAGTCGACTGTGGCTCAAGCCCCGAACCTGGTGGCTTAAACTCATGCTGAGCACGTGTGTGTGCATGCCCAAGATCCCGAGAGGAGAAGGGATTTCCTTGGCCCCCTTCCCCCGGGGGGTGATTTCTCGCTTTCTGTCTCTCCAACTTTCTCTGTCTCTCTGGTGAGCACATATGCCCTATAGCAAAAATCTCTAAAAAATTAATAAAATGTTTCAATAGAATTAAAAATAATATGGTAAAAGTGTCAGTAATGAATGAGCTAGTGTCAAAATGTTATCAATACCTGCGATTTGTATGGGATGAGGAGTAAGTCATTAATAAAAGTTTATGAAGGGGTTAGTGTGAGCAAGACGAATCACCTCCAAATCCATGTCCCATATTGAATCTGGGTTTCCAATTTTATACCGTCTTCAGCAGTTCCATGATACATTAAAAATTATTTAAATCTTCTTTCGTCCTTTTTTTTTTTTTTTTTTTTTGCTTTAGGGCACATACACTTGCCAGAGAGAAAGAGAGACAGAAAGCAACGAATCACCCCCCAGGGAGGAAGGCCAACCTCTTCTCCTCCTTTCTCCTCTCGGGATCTTGGGCACGCATGCACATGTGCCTGGCGTGAGTTTAAGCCACCAGGTCTAGGACTCGAACCACGGTCGACTACATGGGAGTCCAGTGACATAGCCATTATGCCAACTGCTGGTCCCTAAATCTTCTTTCTAATATGGTTATAATAGTCATAAAGAAAAAATCTGCAATTACTCCATTTTAAAACCAGCTTTTATAAGAAAATTTATATAATTGTCTCCTGAGGTGGGAGATGGGCCATGTGTAAACAAGGTTACTATATTTGCTAATAAACTCATTTAACAAAATTAGAATTAATGATTAGTATAAGAATATTAATTGCATTAACATTGGCTAATGTCATTTCAAATTAGTTTGCCTTAATTCTAGATAAAGTAATGTCATTTACCTTGAAATTTGGGGATAAGTACCCATAAAATCCTGAATGGTATATAATAGTTTGCTTATTCATGCAATGATTTATGTATTTAAGTGAGTTACAATCCTAGATCATGTTATTTATTTGTTAGCAAATGTTAAATCAGCTTAGTGTTTTAGGTTACACGAAATTAACCTGCAGTTTAATGTTCAGCATAAATGGTATTCACAGCATGGCACGTCCTAGGAAGCCACAGATGTCGTGATTCCATTGCCGGACTCCCGCAATGTAATCTGACCAAGGTTTGAGTCCTAGACCTAGAGGCTTGAAAATCACGCCGGGCGTGTGCGTGCGCATGTGCGTGCCTAAGATCCCAGGAGGAGAATGGGGGAGAAGGGACTGCAGCATGGCCATCCCTGCTGGGGGGTGATTTCTCACTTTCCCTCTCGCTGTCTCACTCTTTCTCTCTCAACAAGCATGCGCACTCTACGGCAAAAACTTCATTAAAAAAATGCATGTTTTATGAGGGGCTGTCCTTGTGTACTGGCTAATTTTCAAAGTGAAGCATTGACTATATTGTTTCCAACTTTCCAAGGTAACTTTGCACAATCGTTTTAGTGATAATTTCATTTTCAGTATGAGGAAAAGAACGGTGGTTTCATCACTTGGAGATTACACTTTCACGAAAGTATCTGCACTGATTGTGTTACAGTTCCATCAATGGTCAAGTACTGTGTTTAATCCGAAAGGCTCTTAGTCAAACCAAATTCATAAAACAGCTCGGTGCTATTTTCATGTCACACTGCGACGGTTATTTTTGGTTTTGTTTTTTTGGGGAGAGATTTTTGCTATAGGACCCGTGCACTTGCCACCCGGAGAGACAGAGACAGAAGTATTTTACAAAAAGACTAAAAATTGAAATATAAGTTAACAGTTTTTGTTAGATCGGACTGTTTTGTCACCTTTAAATGTATTGAATCTGTACGTTTTTGACTACCTTATCCACTTTGATATAAATAGCATGCATAATAAGCCTCTGTGGGAAATGCAGCTAATGTCACTTTTGAGGAAGGACCCTCACAGCACACTCGGGCTTTGGCACTTTAAAATGATGAGCTCTTTACAGCACTCGTGGGATAAATTCCGTATCCCCCAGTTGCTTATTATACAATCTTCCATGTCTGTTTTCTTTTTTCTGGATTAGTAGTTATTCTTCTGTGTGGTTTGTAATAATTTAGTTGGGAGATTCTTGCTGATTGATAAAATGATCAGCTAAATTTTACAACATCATTTTAAAATGTTGGTACCACAGTATATTAGTTTGGACACATATTTCACGGTGATAATGTATACTAAGCTTTTTCAAAACTATATGTGAAATATAAATATGGGGTAAAAAATTTAATACTCAATTATCAGAAATCAGTACCAGTACCTTAGAAATTGTATCTCCCAATGGTTTAAGTAAATAGCTTTCTAAATACAGTTAAAGATTGAGCTAGTCCTTTTTTCTTTTAATGAACTTTATATTATTACATGTTAAACGTAAGACATGAAATAGGAGTGGTGAAAAGGCGAAGATCCAATGAGAGCTTACTTTCATGTATCACCGAGTGCTCCCCTAGAATTGTTTCCTTTTAAAAAGCTAGTTTTTTTTTCCTTTTTTAGATGAAAAATGATCACTGATTAAGAATGATAGCAAAGAACAATAAACATTTGAAGTAAAGGTTCATCATTCCCAGTATTTATTTTTCCTGTCTGTGCTAAAGGCTTCCCACAGGTTACCCTGTTTATCCCTACTACACATTAAGATAGGTGCTGTTTCTTCCTCCTCTGGTACATGAGGAAACGAAAGCTTATAAAAGCTTATTTCAGTCCGACAGCTGCCACAAAGCTGAGCCAGGCTTTGGGCTGTTGAGACGGCAGACATCTCTTGTTGGACTAGGACCCTGAGTGTGGAGGAAGCTGAGGTTCTGTGTGTAAGACTGGACCATGAGCCAAATACCCCATCCTCAGTAAACCCCAGAAACCCAGTTGCGAGGCTTAGCCTCTAAGGGGTGTGTGAGCTGTGGTCGGAAAACAGCCCTGTGAGGACGGAGTGGAAGATCAAAATGTCTGGAGAACGTAAGGCCCCCAGTTGTGCCAAGAATCAGCAGTAGAAGAGATCAGGACGCCCGAGCAGCCAAAGCATGGCTGAAATAGCAAGCCATGGCCTACGAGGTAGACCTTCTGTCCAAGTCCAGGCGGCCATATGCAGTCAGGCTGCTGGATGGGAAACGAGGAAGTGGGGGGGATCTGTGATTTTCATCTTAAACTTGACCGCAGACCTGTTGGTTGAAGTAGAAGCAACACTTACCGGCTGGATGACCACAAGTTTAGCATAGAAAAGGCTGGAATGAAGGCCAGCTCCCACATGCAGAGTCTCTGGAAAGGTATCGCCCACGTGCCTTTCTAGGGAAAAATACACTTTTTGGATAAAAATGATCAGAGAAAGTAGTGTAACTGGTAAAATGAGGTTAAGTGTGTACAGCTGAATGCAGCTGACAGAAATAATCATCCGAAGAGCATTTAAAGTAACATAAGACATTCGGGGGCCAGCAGGTGGTATGGTGGTGAAGGTGCTAGACTCCCACGGAGTTGACTGCAGTTTGAGTCTCAGACCTGGCAGTTACTGACTATAGACCTTTCTTCTATGTGTTTAATGTTTTCCTTTTCCCCCTAAAAGGGGCGAAAGTGCTGCCTTAGCTGTGCCCTTAAAATTGTGATTGGTATATTTTAATTTTTTTCCAGCCCAAGATTATTTTAATTTTTCTTTACGATTTCCTTTGTATACCCAGGGCTATTTAGAAGTATAGTGTTCAGTTTCTAAATATCAGGGGATTACCTAGGTATCTTTTTATTCTTTTACTGGTTTACTGTTTCATTGCGATCCAGTTTCGTTGTGACCTAGGGACATGTTTTGAATGATTTCTTTTCATCTATTTTACTTTTTCTTTTTACTTTAAATAAGGTCTGTCTTGGCGAATATTCCGTGTACACATGACAAGAATGTTTACCTATTGTTGTTGAATGGAATCTTCTAGAAATGTGAGGTCAAGTTGACTGATCACATCCACGTCTGGATTTCTGTACTTTTCTGCCTGCTTTTTCTGTAATTACTGAGCAAGGTGTCTGCAGGTACAATTGTATGGTTGTCTGTTTCTGAATCCAAAACTACCTTAACATAACTGGACATCTCTAGGATTAAGAATTCACTGCCATTGAATTATTATTATTTTTTAATTTGATCAGAGAGAGAAAGGGAAAGCGAGAAAGCAAGCCACGAGGTCTAGGATTTGAACTGCAGTCGGCCATGTGGGAGTCCAGCACCTTTAACCAACATGCCACCTGCTGGCCCACCGGTGAATTCTTATGATGGTGGCACAGTAGTAATACAGTGCTCTGTGAGACCGACTTCCATGGGAAGGTTTGAGGGTCGCTCCTGGAGACCGCTCTGAACACCAAGTGTGCACACGCCATGGTCCAGAGCTGGCTGAAGCTGAGGACGGAATGTGGTGTGAGGGCCCTCTTAGGGGTGCCTCTCTGTCTCTGTCCCTGTCTGTCTTTCTCACTCAAGGGAGAAATAAATCAAAATAAATCAACTTTAAACAAAAAGAAAGAAGAACTAACCCTCCAATATTCTCACCCGGTGCAAACAGCACAATTGTCTTTTAATTTGTGATCTACAACTCAGTTTTTTGTTTTTGTTTTGTTTTTTTCATATCCTAGTACTGTGGCAAATAGGGACTCACTACATTCGC